CCTCTTCTCTAAAGTAAGAACCTCTTCCCAGAAAATGGGCCTTTAGGAACCTCGAGAAGAGACAGAAGGTGCAACCAGGCCTGCCCAGGACAGGACCTTGCATTCTATTGCACGTACCTATGGGTACATCCTGAAGCATGTTCATGCAAATTTTATAACACACACACAGATCTTCCCTACGCCTTCCGGTACACCTTGGCTCCCACAAGTCCCAGTGAAATCACCTCCCACCCACCGGCCCCCTGCCAGAAACCCGTCTTCACCTTTTGCCACAGCATCTCATAGAGCTCCATCCTCTGTGACAGCTCCTCTTCCAGCTCCAAGGCTTGGTCCCTTAGCTGATCTGCGAGCTCTGTGCCTTCTTTATCCTCCAGTGCCTTCAGCTTCTCCCAGAGACCGAACACATCCAAGCTAAGGGACAGGACAGCCGCCGCACCACTCTTCAGTAGGGCTTTTCGGGACATGATCAGTGCCGTGTCCTTAAAGGCCTTCTTCACCTGTCTGCCAACTGAACCTGAGACATGGCCAACGGTTCGAAGATGTCTGGCCGCGGGGACCAAGTGTGGGTGGGCTTTAGCTAGCCTAAGGGCACGGGCATGGTTCCTGATAACCTGAAAGGTGCTGCCACACTTGTACACAAGCTCTCCAGAGGCTCTGGCGTACCGGGCGGTCTGTCCTCCAGTATCCTCTTGGCATGCTCTGTCACTAGAGGGCGCTAGGGGGCTGGACAGAGCACGGGTGTTTTCAGTGTGAGAATTCTCCAACAAATCGGCCACAATACTGATAACTGAAGCTGTTAACCCCACACCTTGGCCAGCGACTGTAAATATCAGGCTTCCACCCGCTGTTACTGGAGTTAGGGCTAAACCCAGCATGCTCAGGACTCCGGAGACAACGGTGATGGAGTTGGCCACCACACCGGCCTTGGTGAAAGTCTTGTGGGTTGTGTGGGTGTCATCTGCAAGGGCACGGAGCTTTGTAATGACCACTTCTCGCTCCTGTTTCCACCTGGGAAACTCTTCCAGAAATCTCGTCTCTTCAGCGGACAGATACCCAGCATCTTGTAGTCCCAAGTCTGCACCCAGAAGCATGTCATCCGCCTCTCTGTAGGAATGAATGAAATAAGGACTTGGCTTCAGCCTCTCAGACAGAAAAGTCTAAGCCTTCAACTGGCCCATGTGGCTTCTGGATGCTTTGTCTACACCAGCTTTGAACCCTACCTGCATTCCCCTACAAGGTCCACCAAAAAGCCCTGAATGTCATCGAGAGGTTCAACCTTCCCAGGAAGCTCCTGGTTCCCTGGTGAGAGAAAGGTGTGATAACAGTGGCATGTGATCTGGACCGTTTGAGGAAGCTCAACCCTGGCCAAAGACACAGGGCAGGCAGATTTGTCCTGAGGGAAGTTTCTAGGTTTCCCAGGAGGAACGTGGAGCGCATTGAGGAAGTGATCATGCTCAAGAGAAGGAATACGGTGAGGGGGGGACATGGAGACATCTAGAAAGCATGAGAAAGACAAGGTCAGGGGTTGGGCAGGGTGTGGTGGTCCCCGCATGCTGAGGTGAGTCAACGGGAGGATGGGCTGGACTGTATGAAACATTCCTCCTCAAGACCTCGGCTTTGGCTCCTGTGGTTGTCCTTCCTTTCCCAGGGGGGTGCACCCTGAGAGGTCAAGACGAACTCTGACTCGTGTTCTGAATTCTCCTGGGCACTTGGCCACCTTCCTATGGCACAGCAGGTGAGACTGGGCCTTCGTGGAAGGAGCTTGGAACGTGGGGCCCAGCCTTGCTTCACCCAGTATTTCGCAGCACAGAGGGTTAAGGGTTCTTTGCCAGCCCAGGTAAGTTCGGCCTCCAGTGTGTGGAAGAGTAAAGCTGTCTCTTTGGGACGCGTTGCCCTGCCCAGTGAGACTGATTTCCTGCAGGGTGAGTGGCGGACCCTGCTGACACACAGGTGCCCCTGCCCAAAGCTGGAGATGCGAGTATGAAGGGGCCTGGAGGGGAACTGAGTCCCTTTCTTTACTTGTCCCTGGAGGGACCCAAAGGTGAAAGGTGACCCACCCGGAAGGACACATGAAGTCACGATGGAGCTTGGACAGGGGAACAGCCTCACGATGTCCAGTGCTGTCTGCTGTTCCTGTCCCGTGCCTGCTGATATCAGGGTCCCCCCGTGAAGGACAGTCGTGTCTCAGTATCCTCAGAGATGGGTTTCAGCACCTCCTGCAGGTACCAAAATCTGAGGCTGCTCCAGTCCTTCACACAAAATGGCACAGTTTTGCTTATACTCTGTGCATTTGTCCATATGAATCAGCTATAGGTTGTGACACCTACAGCAATGTAGATGCCACGTAGATAGTTGGGCCTAAGTAGGTAGTACATGACCTGCAGTGAGCTGGGTCACAAATGTGGAATATGAGGTACTGAGTGCCGAGCATATATATATAGATATAGAAATACATTTATATTTTGGTTTTGGTTTTGGTTTTTGGTACCGGGGATTGAACTTAGGACCTTGCGCTTGCGAGGCAGGAGGCAGAACCACTGGGCTAAATCCCCGGCTCAATTTACCTTTTAATAAACCTGCCTCGCTCATCTTATACACATACAATTTCACAATGAAGAGGTTAAAAATCACATACTATGAAAATCTTTTAGTATAATAAATTAATAAATACAGCCCAATCATCAGTTAAAGAGCAGATATACCGGGGATTTGGCTCAGTGGTTCTGTTGCCTGCCTTGCAAGTACAAGGTACTGAGTTGGATCCCCAGTACCCCCGCCAAAAAAAATCAATAAAAAAAGAGGAGATGAGCTGGGCGTCGTGGTGCATGCCTGTAATCCCAGCAGTCAGGATACTAAGGCAGGAGGATTATTGTGAGTTCAAGACCAGCCTGGGCTACGCAGTGAGTTCCAGGTCAGTCTCAACTACATAGTGAGACCCTGTCTCAAAAAACCACCACCAACAACAACAACAAAAGAGCAGATGTAAATTAGTTCCCAGAGCAGAAGTTTCACTGGGGTTGCAGTGGAGCAGGGGGTGTGAGGGGGAGGAGGTGGCCCTGTGAGGGGTCGTAAACTGTACAGGCGTCACATTCCGGCTCAGCTCATCCCTGTGTCCCTCCGGGTGTGTAAGGACAGAAGAACAAGAGGCACCAGCTATGCCCCTGTGCATCTGTGCCACGGTTCTATCTTGAGGTGGTTCACAGCTAATAGAAACTCAGCTTCATGGGTGTCTACATTAAACCTAATATCCCAAGTGGGGCTGTGTCGGGCAGCCACGTCTCCTCGCTTAGGGGGAAGCCACGCTGCAGTTCTCAAACAGTGCACGTGGAGTTCACTAATTCACCACGTTAGCAGTCCCTCGTCGCTTGCTCACATTGTTCTCGGTGCTGCTGTAGTTCATGTGCTGATTTTAAATTCTCGATTTTAAATTTATTAATTTTTAAATGCTAAAGGGTGTCTTTGCTGGTATCTTAGCCAAAAGCAATCCCTGCCTTCTTGCGCCTCGCAGAGGGAGGTCCCAGATTGGGCGTTCTCTCCACGGAGTCCTGTGCCCACCATGCCATGGAAATGACTAAAACTTGACTTAGTTAAGCCTAATGGACTAGCCTCCCCCCACCCGAGAAAACCTATGTTCATGTCCATAGCAATAACAGACTAGCGAGAAGACAACACCTACTTCACAGCAAATGCTACAGGCGCACATTTATTCCTAATCAGGAGGATGTCTGCAGCCTTTTTCATAAGGACGAGATTCTGGCTTTACCTTTCCCAACCAACCCTGCCTTGCATTCTTACCCAGCTTGGCTGTATGGCTGCCTCTTAAGCTTCAAGTCCATGTCTCCAGGAACCACATGGTTTTCTAGTTGAAAACATGGAAAACAGTTACCATACATGTCATAAAATCTTGTTAGGCACAAATGTTGACAGAGTTTAGAAAAGTAGAAACCACAATGAAACACATAATGCCCTAATTATTTGAAACTGTTATTTTAAAATCTCATGTTGACATAGAGTCCATATATAGTAAATGTACACCGTGGAGGTTTTGGCTCAATAAATTTTGACATCTGTATTGGAGGGTAACAGAATGTGCCACCCCTAAATATACCACTTTGGTACGAGGGTCATTTTGAGCTGAGAGCAAACGAGAAGAAGCAAATATAGTGGTCTCCACTTTAAGATCCCAGAGAGTTGCCAAGACCACGGATGAACAAGGTCATATTAGTGATTAACGGGTGGGTAGTATACACAGAGTGGAAATGCTGCACAAAGGGTGATTCATGTTCCAGGCGGGAAAGAGTGGATCTGTGTAAGATACCAGACTACTCAGAACTGTGCTCAATTTTAAACTTTTTAATTGTCTGGAAATTTACATTTAATATTTTTGGGACAAAGTTCACCAGAGGAAGCTGAAACCACAAAACCAAAAGTGAAGATAAGGGGGAACAACTCTATACATAATAACCACTGGTCAGATCAGGATGTATCTCCTCCCTCACCCAACCCTACCCAGGCCTCTGACTTCTGTAACCTTTGGTTAATTTGCTTATCCTCAAACTTCATATAAATAGACTTTAGCATTTCTACCTCCAGATAATCTCTTTGAAATTCACCCATGTTATGGTTTTAAAATTATCTATATGTAACATTTAATAAATACACTGCAAATGAGTTATAATGTATATTTCTCTATCAATGTATTTAAATTGTGTTAAGGCACTGGCTGTTGTGAATAAATTGACTACAATGATTGAAGTTTATTTTCACATGACAAGTCCATATTTATGAGGATTGTACGAATTATATTCCCAAGGACATATTATTTCTGATTTTGTGCTGTGTAATGTTAAGTAAAAAATCACAGGAGGCCATGGTTTTAGACTAAGCTCCTACACTTGGCTCCAACAGGCCAAACTAAAAGCCAACAGGGAGGGCTGGGGATTTAACGCAGTGGTGCCACCGCCTGCCTCGAAAGCACAAGGACCTGAGTTCGATCCCTTGTACCAAAACAAACAAACAAAAACCAACATGGAGTCTCTCCTACTAGTTTCCAAGTAAACCTAAAGTTTCACCTGAACTTTGGAGAAGAAGAGAGGAGCGGGGAGAGGATGAGGGAGTGAGGGAGGGAGGGAGGGAGGGAGAGGGAGAGGGAGAGAGAGAGAGAGAGAGAGAGAGAGAGAATAGCCAAGTTTCCTACCCAAGCCAATTTTATTCAGACTGATAATTAAGTTCCTGCTGACTCAATCCTTACCCTAAAAAAGTCACCTGCAGTAACTACATGTTAGCTGGTTATTTTCCTGTTGTCCTGCCTGACAAGAAAAGTGACTGGGAAGGGACCTGTTGCTTTCTGTGCTTTGTTTCTGCTCCCTTCGCCTCTTCTCTATACAACCCACCTCCTGTGCTTGGCTCATTGCAGTATCGCTCTGTTTAATGGACTAAAGTGACTCCCAGTTCTAGAGGAAGAAACAAAAACATATAATTTTTTTTATTGTTTTGTGTTTGTAGGTTTTTGTGGTACCGAGGATGGAACTCAGGACCTTGAGCTTGCCAGGCAGGCACAGCACCAATGAGCTACATCCCCAGCCCCTATAATTTCTTAAAATTAAATTTGTCAGGGCTTTTGAAAGGAAATATGTTTGGTCCTCTTCGGTATTCTTGGCACAGAGCTCCTAAAACCCTTGGAATTTCCTAAGTGATAATGGCACTGAAGGTGGAGATTTTCATGAGCTGCTTTCCACAGCTGCCCAAATGAAGGACATCTGTAAAGGCTCTAAGGAGAGTAAGGAGAGAAGAGTGTCAGGTTAACCAACCCTGGAGAGTAGGAATTTTATCCTCACCCCTCATTTCCAGGGACCAAGATCAGCTCTAGTGACTGATGACTAAGCCAATCATGCCTATGTAATGAACCCTCCATAAAAATCTAAAAGGACCAGGCCAGGAGAGCATAGAGTCACTGACTTGTGGCTGTACCTGGACAGCACCACGCCCAGAGAGCGAGAAAGCTCTAATGAACCAAAATAAAGTGTTTCTGGGGTTGTGAGAGCCATTCTTGCAATTATGAAACCTTTAGGAGGGATTGCGAAACCACCAAGTCATAGTTACATTGTCACCAGTCCAGGGATGCGGTGTTGTGACTGGTGTCCTAGTGGGTCAGTTTTGTGGACCTAGTTATCCCCAAACAGACAGTGTTAGAACTGGGGTAAGTGGCAGGACACCCAGAGGGTTCTTAATAAGAAGTGGAGAATTTCTTGGTGTGGGGAATGAAACAAAAGAAAAAACATTAAAAGAAACAAACAAACAAAACAACCAAAGGATTTTTCAAAAGAACTGGTAGACCTGAATACTGAGTGGAGTGGTTGAATAACAAAGAAGCAGAGATTTTCCCTATATTTTGGGAGTAGCAGAGGCCCTCTCTGGGCATCCGTGAGGGGTCTGAAATTCACCCTAGGATCTATTTGCCTCTCAGTGAGATCTGCCAGGGATGGAGGACGTGCTGGGTCTGCCTAGTGAAAAGACTCTTCTATTAATTGATTGATTAATCGATTTTACAAAGATCCCATCCATTGCAGGGCTGTGAGTCCACAGTGCTGTGTCCACTTTCAGGGAAGGGGAGTTTTCTAATATGTCCCTTGGTGTTGCTATGGCTTGAATGTGGTTTGTCTCCTCTAAAACTCATGCTGGATTTTGATCTCCGTTGTGAGGTATTAAGAAGGTGGACACTTAATCGATGTGTCCTTTAGAGGTGGGGCCAAGATAGGGCTGGAGATTTAGCTCAGTGGTGCTGCTGCCTGCCTTGCAAGCACAAGGTCCCGAGTTCGATCTCCGGTACCAAAAAAAAAAAAAAAAAAAAAAGGATAAGGTCATCAGGATGGGACTCTATGATGGGATCCTAATGGCTTTATAAGAAAAGGGAAAAGAGGAGGGTCAGACATGTCCACTCCTTGCCTCTTGCCATGTGGGGCCTATGTCACCTTGGGTGCCAGCAATAAGCACACACCAGGTGTGGCCCCTCTGCCTTGGAACTCGAGAACTGTGGGTCAAGATAAATCTCTTTTCTTTAAAACTTCCACAGTGTGTAGCCCTGTGCTGTTAGCCTCAGAAAATGAGATAACACAGGCTCCAGGCAGGCTAGCAGTGGCCCTGACCTACTTTTAAAAATGATTATTCTGGCTGAAAAATAGTCTGGATAGATATGTATCAGAAAAGAAACACTTTTATTCCTTGCTGTGAAGATGACACCACATGCCAGTTGGTGACTTGTTTTGTTTTGTCTTTTCGGTACCAAACTCAGGACCTTGCATTTTCGAGGCAAGCACGGCACCACTGAGCCTTTCCCTAGCCCTCTTAGTGGTGATTGAAATTGTGGTGAATATCTACATGTTAGAAATCTTATTGACTGTGAAAGACACATGGCAAGAAAGATGGCAAAAGTGTGTTTGCAGCAATGAGAGGTATTTTGAGTAGTTGGGGGGATATTAATATCAAGGTGCCTTTTACTGTAATAATTCTGTTATTTAGATATTCCCCACATGTTTTGATCACCGACTGTGGATCGACCATTCACGCAATTTCTGCTGAATATTGACATTACCGTATACCCTCATTCGTTTTATTCATCACATCTGGCACAGTATAACTTATGGCTCTTTTCCAAAGTGAAAATGATGATGAAAGGTCAAATTCTGAATCAGTTGAGTACACTGAGTTATTGACAGCTCAATTTAAGTTACTCCCAGGAGAGGAATTCCAGAGCTTCGGAAAGTGACAAGAATTATGGGGTAAGTGCACCGGAGGAGAGGGAGAGCATGTTCAGACAATTGATGGTGCTGTTTTTGACTTAATTTTTAAAAAATTAAATGATCACTCTATGTATTGCAGTTATTTTAATTGCAGCTTATTTTTCTGTGATGAAATGTAGGTAAGGTCTTTCTGTCCACTGACCAGCAGCTCTCTAACAGACATCACCTGATTTTCCTGTAATGACTCAGTTCTGACGTAGTCTACTTGGAGATAGCAGTGAATCCCACAGGCTAAGGGTTCAGGCTCTTAAAACTGTACCACCTCAGACGCCAACAGCAAATCCAAACCTCTGGAACTCCTGAGGAATGGCCTACAAGGGGGTCCATACCACTCTCTCGTCAGTTAATTTGCCACAGCAACTCACAGAACTAAGGGGTAGTCACTTGCCGTGTGAGGGAAACGAGAAAGGGTGTAAGGATGCGCATCTGGGCAGAGAGGTGCTCAGGGCACAGTGCTCCCTTGTGCTCCACCCTCCAGGAACCTCCCTGTGCTCAGCTAGCCGTCTGCAAGCTCTACAAACCCCAGAACGCGGGGATCTTCATGGAGGCTGCATCACATCAACTTGATTAGTTAATCTATTCACCTTCAGCCCCTCTCTGCTTTCCAGAGAATGAGGGCATCAGGTGGAGGTAAAAGTTCCAAGTTTCTAATGATTCCTTGGTCTTTCTGGTGACCACCCCAACCAGGAGCCCACCACAGAGCTGCCTCATTGGAACAAAAGAAGCTCCGACTTCCCAGGAAATTCCAAGAGACAAAGAACTCTGTGATAGATGCTCCTGTAATGCAGAAGCTTACAAATATTCTACGAGTTCTGTTTTGGAAACTGGGTTCAAAGATCAAATATTAGAACAAAACCACCTTGTAGTGCCCCTATCAACAAGGGCGTCAGAAGCTCTACGTTAGAAAGTGAGGGCAGATTCCAACATGTCTAGTTCTTACTATTTTAAAATTGCAAGCGAGGAAGCAGGGAGACAAGTTAGGAATAGGGCAGTCATTGGAGCCAGCAGGGTGGCAGCTTGGACCAGGTGACCAGAGTGAGAGGAAGTGCAGGAACCCACAGATTTCCCCGGTGGATATGGGTGTGAGTAGGAGATTCAAGGATGACTTCAAGCTCTGGGACCCAACAGACTGTCACAGTAAAGATCCCTGTACTGATATGGGAAGGGCCCAGGGTCTTAGGCAGGTTGTGTGTGACATGGGCAGTGACAGAGCTCTGTGTGAGACAGGCTGACTGATATAGACTAGGCAGCGGGTAGGTGAGACCCATTCTTCTGGATATTGAAATTGAGAGCTGTCAGAGTAGGGAGCAGTCAAAGCCACGCACTGGCTGAGAGCCTTTGGGAAGGACTAACAAGAGCAGCATAACTCAGTCCAAGTCATGAGCCGTGGAGCACCCCACAGTTAGAACTCAGGAAGAGGAGAAAGCAGCCAGAGATGGAGGAGGCTGTAGAACCAGAATCATATCGTGGAATCCAAAGAAATACTCAAGTATGATGGACACATCTTTGTGGTTCAATTCTTTTCTCACACATGCACGGTACGTGTGCTAGGCTACTGGTCTACCACTATGCTACAGCCTCAACCCAATCTTTCTATTTTTTGGTGAAATCTGGGCCATTTTGCCTTCCACATTTTCTCCTGCTGGTGCAAAGGCGTCACACATTCTGCTTTACCTGGCTGTGAACTGGATGGACAGGAGCTAAGACCATCTTGGCGGACTGGAGATGTCTCTGTTGTTGCAGCATTCAGAGGGGCGTCTCTGCTGGTCTCCATGGCCAGGTGTCCTGGGTGGGAAGCGAGGCTGTCAGACCTCCTAGCAGGGAAAACAGACTTTCTCATTAGCCAGCAGAGCACAGTGAAGTGAATTCAAAGCTTCTATCACTCGCCAGTTCTGTTCTGTTTAGAAATTTAACCCACAGATAAAAGTTTATCTTTTGTTTCTATAAAATAACCAGAAAAACTGTTACACAGTTTCTGCGTCTTCACAGTTACTAAGGGACAGAAAAAAAGTTTTCTGGAAAGTAATGGCAGTCTGATTGGTTTGTAAACAAAGAAACTTTTCCCAACAGAGGCACGTGAAAGGGTGACGCTCCTGCCAGGCTTCCTACGTGAGGAGCAGGACTAAGACCCTTCCCAAGTGCACAATGTCCCCAGGGGCCTGGGTTTCGAGCCCCATTTCCCTGAGGACAATTCTGTTTTCTGAATCAAGCAGCACCTGGAGCCAATCCTTGGGAACCTCATCCTTCTGGAGCCCAGCAGCAGCCCTCCCGCCTCTACCTGCCGCTGTCTCCCTGTCTCTCCTTCTTCTGTCCCAGAGGGAGAGAAAATGATGCTTGTTTCTGTCCTCACCTCTCAGACGGTGTGGTGTCCGGCAGGCCAGAGGCTGTGAGTGGCTGGCTGCTCAGGGACTGAGGCCAGAGAAGCTGGGCAGTCTGGGCCCTTGCCCAAGGGAAAACCCAGAGAGCCCTCACAGCACAAACAGAAATGAACTCTGAAGACTGGTTCTGGCTGTCTGCTGCAGGCACAGGAAAGCAGGTATATGTGGTTCCAAGAAGACCAGGTCGAGAAATGGCCATGCTTTTTAGTTTCTGTTTTGCTCTTCTCCAGGAGATGCACAGGGAAGTGGGAGAGCAGACTCAGGGCACTGTGCTGCATATCTGTAATCCCAACTACCTGGGAGCCTGAGGAGGAAGATCGTGAGTGTGAGGCCAGCCCGGGCAACTTTGGGAGACCCTGTCTCAAAATGAGAAACAACTTTTAAAAAGATTACAGATGTACCTCAGTAACAAATCACCCTTAGGTTGAGCCTTATTACTGCAAAGCAAAGCAAACAAAAAAGCCAGAAGCCCCAGTCTCCTTTTTTCCTTCCCAGCTGTGTGATAGGCAACTAACAGGTGGTTATCGATGTCCAGGAGGCCACTGAGAGCCACAGGGCTAGGACCAGCCCATCCTCCACTCTGGGAAGGAAGAGGTATTTGTCTGTTGATTTGGGGAAAGGCAGTGGCTCATGGGAGAAGGCTTGGGTAGTTCCTCAGGGGGCTGGTAAAAGAATTTACCAATGATGAGGAACAGAGAAAAAGCAAGAGTTTATCTCGGCCATAGTTTGTTGCCCGGGGCAACCGTGGGCAAGTCTCCAAGCCAGAAATTGAGCAGTCAGGGTGAGAGGTTGGGATTTTTATGAGGGTTTGAGGATATGGAACAAAGGTCTAGGCAGCCATGTGATTATCTAGAGAATGTCTTTTTCTTGGATTATTGAGCATTTTGCACATTTTCCTTGAGCACCTTTGTTGTGCTTAATAGTATTACATTTACAGGTGCGGTGTTGACAAGAAGACTTCATCAGGCCGTCAGCGTTAGATAAGGAAGCAATAAGGATTCCATTCACATCATTTAGATATAGTGTGTGGAGACTCTGTGGGTGAATGCACGGACTTTCTCCCTAAAGGTTGGTTGCTGTTCTATGACCGCTTACTGAGAATGGCAAGACTTGAACCAGAGTCCTGTGTCGCAGATGGCTTTCTCCCAAGTTCAGCTGCTAAGGATGTTAGTTAGCCCTTTTATCGCCAATGGGCATCCACTACATTTTCCTTCTGACAAACTGACAAAGTCACACATTTACAAGGGATGATGTGGGGCCCCTTGAGTTTGCTGATTGTTAGCGATGTTCTTGGGCTGATAGCTAAGACCTAAATTTGGCATCAAACTCTAAATAAGGTTGTGCAGCGAGTCCAAGTTGCAACTGAGCATAAATCTTTCAAAACTGTTGTAAATTTTTGATGCTGAAAAAACATTATCTGACTTATCTGGAGTATATGCATAGCATTCTGTTTTAACAATATCACAGGTGAGCATTAGCTTGAGGAGTTGGAGAAGTCTGGAAGGTAGAAATCTTATCAACATGTTAAACAAAATGGGGTTAAATTTATTTGTTTTGTTTTTTGGTACTGGGGATCGAACTTGGGTCCTTGAGCTTGTGAGGCAGGCAGTGGAACCACTAAACTAAACCCCTGGCCCTGGGTTAAATTTAAAAGTAAAATAATGGTGAGTTATTTTCAATATTGACTGCTCTCTGCTGGAGGTGTTTACTCAAATACAACAGGTAAAAATTAAGAGCATGTAGACTTCTCCATATTTTGTTAATAAGAAATCTAAATTTTTTCTGAATTTGATCCCTGGTACCCCAAAAAAAATCTAAATTTTATTTTATTTATAATAATGGCTATGAAAAAATTAAATATCTATGTTTTACATAAACAATGGGCCATTACCTCTTATTATTGGGATTGGTGTCTACTTTGTAGATTTAATGTTCTTTAGAGTGACTGGCTCTAGATAAGAAACATAAACCCAAAGCACATAACAGAGGGTTAATTTTCAATATGAAAGCACTAAAGTCTAGCAGGTAGACTATGTTGGCATTTTTATTTTATAGGCACCCTATGTAAAAAGAAAAAGCCAAGTTTTACCCGAGGGTTACCTTAACATACACCAAAATAATTGACTGCGATACACTACAGCAGGCTGAAGGACATGTTTTAGAAAGGCTGGTGGGGCTGAGAGTTTAGATTTTTTTTTTTTATGGCTGTCAGTTAAAATGTTACAGGTGCGACTGGATACTTGTTTGGAGATCCTTTTGTATCTAGTGTAGCTCCTTTATATGAGTGTCAGTTAGTGTACTATGTGGAGGATATGTTACTGGGCTTTGAGATGCTGGAGTCTCAGACGTGATCTTCAGCTTTAAAAAAAAGCTCAGCAGCCTGAGTCTGGGCCAGGTAAAAGGAGAAAAACAAAACACACCCTATAGTGCAGCGTGGACCACCATGAAGAGAGACAATATAGCAAACAGTTATTGGCCACAGTCCCTTTTTATATTCTGCAGGCCAGGGTCACGTCCTGGTCACTCTATCAAAAGCTTGCTCAAGCTCTTGTGAGAAGCCCTCATGCAGGGCTCTGGGCAAAGCTCTGTGTACACTGCCAGGGATCTCGTCACACCTCCTTTCCAACCCATTATTATTATTATTATTATTATTATTATTATTATTATTATTATTATTTATTTTTATTTTTGGTACCAGGGATCGAACTTGGGTCCTTGCACTTGCAAGGCAGGCAGCAGAACCACTGAGCTAAATCCTTGGCCCCCTCAAATTGACTGCGATACACTACAGCAGGCTGAAGGACATGTTTTAGAAAGGCTGGTGGGGCTGAGAGTTTAGATTTTTTTTTTTTATGGCTGTCAGTTAAAATGTTACAGGTGCGACTGGATACTTGTTTGGAGATCCTTTTGTATCTAGTGTAGCTCCTTTATATGAGTGTCAGTTAGTGTACTATGTGGAGGATATGTTACTGGGCTTTGAGATGCTGGAGTCTCAGACGTGATCTTCAGCTTTAAAAAAAAGCTCAGCAGCCTGAGTCTGGGCCAGGTAAAAGGAGAAAAACAAAACACACCCTATAGTGCAGCGTGGACCACCATGAAGAGAGACAATATAGCAAACAGTTATTGGCCACAGTCCCTTTTTATATTCTGCAGGCCAGGGTCACGTCCTGGTCACTCTATCAAAAGCTTGCTCAAGCTCTTGTGAGAAGCCCTCATGCAGGGCTCTGGGCAAAGCTCTGTGTACACTGCCAGGGATCTCGTCACACCTCCTTTCCAACCCATTATTATTATTATTATTATTATTATTATTATTATTATTATTATTATTTATTTTTATTTTTGGTACCAGGGATCGAACTCCGGTCTTTGCACTTGCAGGGCAGGCAGCAGAACCACTGAGCTAAATCCCTGGTCCTCCAACCCATTCTAGACATACTGCGTCTTTCTGCTTCAATTATACTTTCCTACTCTGTGTTTAAGACCAAGATAAAGTAAACCCCGAATTAAGGAAAATGTACCTGTATTTATTTGTGAAGGTCTGTTCAAACTCTTCAAGGGTGACTTTTGGGCGTATGGGGTGCCCCGTAATTCCTCCAGCTTTTTCCTCTAGCGTGTCTGTTGTCTGCCGGAACAGATCACAGTCTTGCTGACCATACGGCTTCTCTTGGAAGCATGGGAAACATTTCCCTTGTTCGTGGCCCTCCTTCTTGTAAACTGTACATCAGTTGACTGCTGCCCTCTGGGGTCCAGCAATCCCCTGCTCAGGAGGCTGGGTGACTCACTGGGGTTGCAGGGCCTTTGCTGAAGGGTCCTGTCATGTCCTAGGTACTGGCTGACCTTGGAGAGCAAGGAACACAACGGCTGGTTGTCCTCTTACCCCTTTTTATCTTTTTTAGCTGTGGTCTCTAAGACTCAGTTGTTGACTCTCCAAGGAGGTCAGTTACACTGGTCTTGAAGTAGGAGCGGTAGGTCTTAATCTAAATAATTATAATCTTTTTTGGACATCAGGACACTTTAAAATAAAAAGTAGGTGATGGCCTACACATACTGTTTAGATTGTCAGAATTCACATTATTATTATTATTATTATTTTTTTTTTTTGGTACTGGAGATCGAACTCAGGACCTTGAGTTTCCAAGGCAGGCGCAGTGCCACTGAGTCAAATCCTTGGCCCCTAGAATTCACATTCTTATAGAACCAAAGATAGCTGTGCAACAGAAAGCAGCCATGAACTTTTACGGGAAACATGTAAAACCAAAGTAACAAGAGCAAACACAGGGTCGCTGTGTGTACTTCCGTGTGGTTTCACAAAACACCGAAGAATGTAGTCGGGAACAAAAGAAGAAGGTTAAGAAAGTTTAATCGGAAATAAGGAAGAGAAATGCCTCTGAATTTCAAGAGGGGTCCTGACAGGGTTACCACTTGTCCCTGCAATTTAGAATCACCTGTAGGTAGACAGGGCGGTACCGGAACTCCTTGTTTAGTGAGCTATCCTGAGTGGCTCTGTGAAGTTAAAAAATGAACAGTTGGAATTCACCCTGTCTAGCCTAGTTGTTTTACATAGTGTTTATAGTAAACTGAGATTTTTAGAAAGAAAACTGGTTATTTTGCATTATAACGTCCTTAGAGCTCAGGAATTTAGTAGGGAGTAGTAACTCTTTAGAAGGGGTGGGCTGCACTTCATATTATAGAAGTTAATCCATTTCAAATTCCTCAAAACTCAGGAACTTAGTAGGTGGTGGTGTACTGTACAAGGGCGAGGCTACATTCCCTGTCGCCTGAGGAATGTTCATTGTGGTCAAAATGCTAGTTTACTCTATTCTTGGGCTGGGGATTTAGCTCAGTGGTACCACTGCCTGCCTGACAAGCACAGGATCCGAGTTTGATTCCCAGCATACCCCCCCCCCCCCC